GCCAGTTTCCACTTATCCACTTATCTCTGTGTGCTGTAAATACCATCCTTTGAGATCGCACCCCCCGGCTGAACCCCAGGAAGGCTTTTTTCTACCCCAGTCCACTCAGAGGCTGCAGTGTTGCTGAAGATTACATGGAAATGTCAGGCGACTGTTGGGTCAATACACAGACACATACAGGAGAAACTGGGGCCCAACAAATCAATCACTGACAATTAGATATGTTTGTGCTGTTTAAGTGACTGCCGCTAGATAGATTTCCCCATTCGCACAGCAGTGTATATTGAGCCCAGTGTCCAAAACAAAACACACTTCAGAAAGCTGTCATTTTTAACATATATTTGTTTGGGTTTGCTTATGATCTTGAAGGAGTTGTGCATGAACGTTTATACACCTATGTCCTTCCTTTTGGCCATGTTTCAGAGATTTTAAACATGATGAATGTCAATGAAAAATTCTTTAAATGTTAGTGATTGCGTAAAGCCATGTTTTGTCAAACAAGTATGCTTTCTATTTTCAAATGACCCTGATTAGAAGTCTCCATGTCACTGTTCTTGATAGTATGTATTCAACATCCTTAACATCCTTAGTGGAGTCTTTTGTTGTAGTTGTGGATTGGTTTGTCTTTCTCTCCTAGAATCCTTGGAGCTTATGCCTACAACAGTTTTCTGTGAGTGGGGATGCAGAGGTGCTGCAGTGCTACCTATAATGGAACGTGTGGGTTTGGTGGCTGGGGACTTGGTGCTCGGAGGTGAGGGGGAGGCTGACTTTCCTGGAAAGAAAAACAGACCTTGTGGTTATCAATTGAGAGATCTCTGAGGAGCTATAATCTATGGTTAGTACTATTTTAAGCTATGGGTGAAGATTAGTATCAACATATCTACACAGGGAGATTCAGAAGTACTTGAATATAGGTACTGTTCACATTTTAAGAAATTGTTTTTTGAACAATCACATTGTTATGTGTATGTTATGTAAAGGACCTGTTATATTTTTATTTTCTAGACATAATTGTTTTTTTCCCCTTTATGTTTTTGAGTTATAGTGTGACTTCTCCTGAGCTTGTTGCTCTACCTCTGCCTTCACATGGATAAAAGTCAATATTCGTTTATAGTCACTAATGAGCCAAGATTAATATGAATTTATAATTAGGTTACTCATTAGCATTGTGATTAGCAAGGATGCCACAAACTTTATCTTAGAGGAAGATGACATTTTTCTAATGAAAGGAGGCATCAGAGTGCTTTCTGCTGATGGCAAGGGCAAACATTAGACAAGGTCAATTATGCACAGAGGAGCCCACTGTTTGTAATTTCGCACTGGTTTAAAAGTTCTCACAGAGGATAACAACACATGCACATTTCTAAACATGAGACTCGGAGCTAATAAAACAAGTATTACATCTATTAGGTTTGAAAGTATGCAAGAACTACTGTTAGTTTACGCATGCCACTACTCCAGTCTACATTATTACTACATACTGGTGCCAAGCGTGGAAGCCAAAGTGGAAGCTGCAAAATAAATACAATCAAATCAAAGCAGCACATTTTAGTGGCACAGACAGAGACAAGGTGACGACAGGACAATAGGACCAGCCACAGTTCACAGCCAACATCACAAGAGGCACAGCTCGCTTTAACAAACATGCTCACACGTGGCAGAAGGAGCAGGACGAATGGATCATTTTATTATTCAATGATGATGCAGTTAAGGTTTTGGTAACATGGTCACTTAATAAAGGGCAAAAATAGCTAATTGTTTGCATATTCATGACAAAAAATCTGTATCTGGAATAGTCAACTCCTTTACCTTTACCATACCTGTAGTCACAAAAAGCTACACAATAAAGCCTCGGCCTCGATGATCCATTAAGTGGGATATTCATCTCGTAAATTAAATGTTATTTTTAATGCTGATCCCAAAAAGCACTGAACTAAAACCAAACCACTTAAGTCATATCATATCTTAAACCTCTTAACCAATGCTCTCTTTTGATTTCAACTATTCTCTGTAATCATTGGTGAGGGTAAGGGATTTGTTTCAAAACATCAACACATCTCTACTGTCTGGGAAATGTACAGTATACACTCTCTGCTTTGCTAACACAAAATTAGCCAATCATGAACATACATTCCATATAATTCGGCCAACTTCCTCTCCACCAATACAGACACGCTATACCGTACAGTAAAGCTCAGAATGTCTGAAACAAACATGTTTTTGTGATCATGGCACAATCATGTAAATATGACTCTCAAGGAGCTAATTATCATTCGTTACATTCAGCAAGGTTCAAATCATCAAATGTGAATCATTGTGGACATATCTAAATTAAAGCTCAGAATACTAAATCTTGTAAAAACAGTTTTACAATCTGGATCATCAGCCTCTGGACAAGTCTGGTTAAAGCTGCACTAACTGACTTTGGGATTTTGAAGCCGTGGACCCGCTGGCCTCTCTCTTTCTGCTCCCCTCCCCGCACCCACGAAGCTATCGCCCCCACACACACCCACTGTTGGGACGAAGCTAGTGTCTCCCAATATGGATAATACATGGATATGGATTTGCACGTGAATAGGGCACTGTCCGGTTTCCGAAATGTGCTAAAAATAGTTCCAATGACTGCGCATGCGCGCATGTTTCGGACAAACTCTGTCCGACTCCGTTGAGTACTACTGTGTTCTCCACATACGCGTGTGTATTTATTTGGGCTAAATCATTGAATCATGGTGACAACAAAACACTGCAGTTATGGTGCTTGTGGGAGCGATTTCAGATACTCTGAAAAGGACTATATGAAAGCAGTAACATTCAAACTGTTCGTTAAACCACACCATCGAACCAGACCAGGACCAGACCAGGACCAGACCAGGACAAGTGCAAGAGGTGGGTGCTTGTGGTCAGCAGAATTTCTCTCATGAAAATGTTAAAAAGGACATGTTTTTTCAAAACACTTCACTGGACCAACTGTGGAGCCTCCAGATCCAGTCCTAGCTACGTTTAGCTGGGACTGGACCTGGACCGCTGTATCAGGTCCGTCTGAGCTCTTCTGAATGTAGTTAGCCCCATCAATCCATATTAGTATTGTTTGTCCTAATCCAGAATGTATACAATTCTCACACCTGAAGAAAGATGAGAGGGATTTTTTCAACTTCGTGACTATCGGAAAATAAGCACAGACGAAGCGCGTTGGGGTCCGCTTTATTATACGGCTTTGTACCAACTGAACACACAAAATAAACTTCTGTCACTATTCATGCCAAAAGGTTTATTTAATGAGTGCAAAGAAGAAAATAGTTCCCAAAGGTTTTAGTTCACCTACTTTAAAAAAGCGATCGCTTTAGTCGCATTAAAAAAGTATTTTTGTCATGAAAACCTTAACAGATAATTCTGAAAACCTCTGTGCACGTGTGTTGTATGAATATTATATTCTAGCATTAACATTTAAATATGTTGATTGATTGTCGTTTGCGTTTACTGAGTGTGGCTAGCTCCGATAGTTTCTCTCTCAGAGACAGTAGTGGTGTAGCCCGTTGTGACCCCATGGATCTATTATAATATCGGCTGACTGTAGTTAACTAAATGATCAAACTAATTACGAAATGGACAGTACAAAAAACAACTTGATAAATGGAAGTTAATCAGAGCAAAATAAACAAAGAAGGCGCTAACATTGCAATTTAAATGACTAGATAATGTTAGCATAATCCTCACCATTACCTTTTTATCAAATCAAACTTTCTACCAGTTACTGGAAGACCACGACATTCAAGCCAACGTTTTAATTGGTCTACACTATGATCCCTGATGGTTTGATGGTGGAATTTTGCCCCTGGTTTATCATTTTCGTCTAAAGTGACAAGAGGTATTTGATTCATTTTGGCAGTGTTTGTCCGAAACATGTGGGCGGGAGATGACAGGCGGCGGGGGCGTGTCTTAGTGACGTCATTCAGATAGTTCGCTATGGGACTTTCTTTTGGATGGATGTTTCGCTGAGTAAGCAGTAACCGGTGACGAAGACACACGAAGCTTCAGGTTAGCTCCGTCGCTTGTTGTGCTAACTCAGCCGTATATGCTAACGGACCTGTAGATTTCTCACGAAAGTGGGGGCCAGTGGTCCGTTGTGATTGGTCACAATCTGCGACCCGAAACACATTCTCTTCCTTGTTTCATCAAAACTCGATCTAAAATATAATGTCACGCCAGCACAAATCTGCGCTAATTATTCTTCAAAAGGACGTATATCCCAATGCACTACATGGACATGGATAGCATTTTCGAAATGAATACGAAAATAAAGTCAGTTAGTGCAGCTTTAACTAAAGTGGCCCTGTTTTCAAAATGTTTGGACACCCCTGGTATACACCATGAGGGAGAAAAACCTACAGTACATGACTCACATCCTTCAGGCCACTTCACGATAATACCAGGAATGATTTTACCAAATATAACCATGCAAGGTTTGATTGTACTTTCACTGTTGCCTGAGTCACTCAAAAGTCTCAATCAAATACTGGAGTGCCGCACAACCCAAAGCTTTTGCAGAACTAGAATAATAGTATATACTACATGCCACCTCATTAACATACCGTTAGCTTATGAGTAATTCATTATTTTCTGTATGACTGTGATTTCCTCAAGCTCAAAGCAATTTTCTCTCCTATTTGATTGTTTCATTGAACTTGTGCTCCGTCGAATCAATAAGCGCTTGCTTGGCCATGACAGTGACAAATGAAAAAGCCCTACTTTGTCCATATGAAATTGTTTATCCACAAAAAAATTACTTACACAGAGATATGAAAAGCTGCCTGGGCGTATATCATATCTCAATGGCATTTTCAAATAGCGTAAAGTAATAGCTTTTATGCCTTGTTCGCTTTCAATTTCACCACTTCTAAACTCGCATCTGTGAAGCTGTTGCCTCGAAATGCACCCGAAGCCCCCAAATCTCAAGTTGCACCGAAGTACGTGGATTGCTTTGCGCTGCTCTTGTCACTCACTTTCCTCCAGAGCCGTGGTGCACTCCTCGCTGACGACGGGGCCGCAGCCCATGGTGGTGCACGAGCGCAGGTACAACTTGTATTTGCTCACGGCCTCCAAGTCTCGCAAGAGCCATTTGGTGGTGTCTGGGTTGCTGATATCGACTCTCTGCAGTGGGCCGACTTCTTCTGTATTGTTTACTGTGAAAGATAAGAAGGGGAAAAAACTGTCTGTTTTCATGCATTTTGAAAGAACCACTAGATCGTGTGAAGCCGGTCCACCAAGAGCCGGTGTGGCTGCAGGTTTAATTCCAACCAAGCAGGAGCACCCCAGACTTCACCCATATCCTCAAGTGAGTCCAGTGTTAACCTGTAGACTTGAAGACATGGATGGAGTCTGGTGTGTTCCTGCTTGGTTGGAATCAAAACCTGCACCATACTGGCCCAATCTGGAACTAGTTTGAAACCCCTAGGGCAGGGGTGTCAAACTCATTTTGAACAAGGGAAGAATAAAAACAATAGGATATTGTCAGGGCAGAAACAGTAGAAGAGATTTATTTTTCTTACAATTGTTTTTTTATTGTTATTATGAAGGTATTTTGACATTACTTTTATGTGAAATGACTTTCACGATTATTTTTTGGTTGATTTGTATGAAAATAAAACGTGATTATTGTTTAGATTCAACCAAAAATGAAAGTTATTGTTCTATAAAATTAATTCACTTCTAATGATGCGTTGGGTTAAAATAACATGTCTTGGTAGCCCATCACCATCTAAGCTGCAAGTTAATAATAATAATTGAAAATCATTTTAGGGGCCACTAAAAATTGTCTTGCGGGCTGGATTTGACCCACGGGCCTGAGTTTGACATGCCTGCACTAGATCATTATATCAGTGGTTAAAATTGTGGCTGTGTAACTGTGTCCTTGGCCATGTATTTCACCCTGTTAAGTGCAAAAGTGTGTGTGTGTGTGTGTGTGTGTGTGTGTGTGTGTGTGTGTGTGTGTGTGTGTGTGTGTGTGTGCGTGTGCGTGCGTGCGTGTATGTGTGAAAGATAGGTGAAAGCATAGGTGCTGCAAAAACACACACACACTTACCAACATCACACGTCGAGAGGTGGTGATTAAATAATGCATGCAAAGCGACTTTGAGTGTCAACGGCTTGTTTAAGCAATGACTTGACAGAATGTGCGATATGAAAAGAAAATCTTCCTCAAACTTGAAATCTGAAATTGAGTCCACAGGTAATTTATATACAGTATTCATTCAAATGTAGGTACCCAGTCTGCCTGTTTAGCAGTCGAGCTGAAGGACAGGTCAGAATTATATGATTTAAATATTTTTTCTGTCACATTACACATTTGAACATTGGCACAGTACAGAACACATTCCCACTTTCTCTACAACTTAACAGTGAGTTGCCAAAATATAGACATCTACAGAGCACACCTACTGCTGCTTATACTGAGCTGAAAATGATGTGCTACAGTTGTCAAGGTTAAGCTACAGACAAAACACGCTGGATTTCACTCAAAAAACTGGCAACCCAAATGAGTAGCTCATTTTGCTTTCTGTTTGGATCTTCAGATAAGAACCTTAACTGTAATGAGAACATAACTAGGGTGGCTATGCTGTCCATTGTTTTTTATATTCAGAAGAAAACCACATTAAAGATTATGCCAAAGCTCTATGCCGTGCTTGTTGATCAGGAGACACAAGTCAAATGTAGCTGTAGTAAAAAATATTAAATAATTTATTTGCCATTTGCAGTAAAACCCCATTGGAAAAACTGCAAGACTACCCCAGTGGGCACCTGATAGTACACACCAGGGCTCCATCCATTGCATATGTCAACCGTGCATTTTGTTTAAGCTTGTTTATGGTCAACATATCTGGAATTATTTGGCTACATAGGGGGTTGACATGTTGATTAAAGGTATGCATAATGAAAAATGTTTGTATAATCTCTGTGTGTCATCCAATCTAAAACAATATTGTAAATGAGTGTCCCCTCCCTCATGCAAAAAGAGGACATATAATACACATTTCAAGGGTGGTATTTGTTAACCCGACACTTCAGATTAATGCTACAGCCCGTGCTCTGTCTCTGTAGTCAAAGGATGTCATTTTTATTACTTAAAGCATCAGTGTTGCAGGAGAGGTGGCATTTATGTTCCTTTCAGCACAAACAAGCACAGCAGGTGTTCTGTTGACCTTTGCTATGAAAGAGGTTCCACATCTCGCTGTTTGGAAGCAGTAGCTACAAAGATAAATTGTGTTTTGATCGGCTTTTTGCATAGAAACTACCCACTGTTATCAGAAAACAATGCTTTGTAGTTGTGCTGTTCCCAAGGACAGAAAAAGGCCGCTTGCTCGTGAATTATTTAACGTTGCTATTCTGTGGCTATAGACTAGTATTTGGATCAAAAGCAAAGCTATTTTCATGCTTTTCCAAAACACACCCAAGCCTGGCTGTTGGCAACACGGTCTCAAAGGGTAAACTAGTAAAAGCTGTGCACTTTGGCTCCTCAAGCAATTTGCAGAGTGTAATATTTTCGAATGCTTTGGAGCTGTTGGCCTGAAAGCATCTGGCCTTGTGCAGCGCTAACAGACCAACAAAGATCTGCCAGTGACCTGACAGTGAGTGCAAGCCTCATCTCAAATGGGCAGAAAACCGGAGTGAGAACAAAAACTAAATAAAACAAGTTCAACGCCAACTCAATCGCAACAGTTTGAGATTTGTGCAAGCCAACTATGCTATGCAATTATAACGTGTCTCTCCAAGCAATGATGTGCTCCAGACAGACACCGCTTGATAATTGCCCAAGGGTTACATGGGAGAATTGGAACATTCAGCCAGAGTTTCAAATGTATAATCAACTATATACGCAGTGTTCTGTTCCATTGAAATAATAATTGACTTTTATTTTATTCGTGTTTACTATAGTGCATGTCGAAATAGTGAATGTCTCCTATTGATCTCCTTTGCATGGAATGGACATGTTTAGTATTCTCTGCTATGTTTATCATATCCTTGCAGACAATCTGGACCATTTTGAACTTTTTTTTAAAGTAGCAGTATGTAATATTTGTATGTCAAGTCATCATTAAATGGCCCCCATATTTCAAAAGGGGGCCACAATAACAACCCGTACAAGTTGTTATTGTTTTGATTTTGATGTCCTACCCTCCGCCGTTTCGCCAATCAGGAAGTCCCATGTAAGTCCGTGATCGGGTTGCCAGAACTCGCGCGCGGCTCATTAATCTCAGTGATAAAATAACATGTGGCCGCAGAACTAAAAAAGGTCTTGTTATGACTCTCAAATAATTAATGTCAAAACAAAGACTAAAAAGAGGATTTATATTGGGACGCCTTTGAACAATTGAGACAGCTGATAAAAGTTTATGTGTGATGCAAAATTTGCTGATTTGACACCGTTCTTCAAAGTAGTGTATTCAGCGCGAGTCGATGGTCCAGTGGTTATAACTACGTGCTCACGATGCAGCAACCCCGGTTCGATTCCGGGCAGGGACCTATTTGTATTTAATTGCATGTTATCACATTCTATGACAGATTGCTCTAAATACGGTAAAAGGCAAAAGGTCAAGACATTTTTTTGCAGATTATAGCTTAATTGTAAAAAGAATCATTTAAGACCACATGTACCCAATTAAAATAATGTTAGTCTCTTTTTGATGTGGGACTTATACATGTTTGTCTAAAAAATAGGGAACAAAATAATTTTGAAGGGTGATATCCTCTGGAGCAAACCCTGATGTTGATACGCTGAAGAAATACGTTCCAACATCCATTCTTCCCACTCCTATTTTGGACATCAATTGCTTGTTTATTTTGGATAATCTATAATTACATTACTTTTATTTTGTTTTTTGTTTTTTATCTCAAATGTCCAAATAATAAAAAAAAAATTAAACATGAATTCAACATTAGTATGCCTCATGGCAATGTGAATGGAGACAGACAAACAACTGATAAAATAATTCCTTGTGTTTGTGCTGGATTTGGTGTGTATCTGGCAACCTGAGTCAGGGAGAGTGGGAGAGGACTACAAAATATTGACTGTGACTGCAGTACCACTTTTTGCCATATTGTTCCTTTAAATATTATCTTTTACTTCATTGACCCAGTGGAGCACTCACTTCGCCTGGACTTCAGAGTTCGTTAGAAGTTGGAGGAGAGAGCTGCCGTTTCATATGCATGTATCACATTGCAAGAACCACAAAAACAACTTTGAGTACCATCTTGACTACTCTCAATGTTGCACATTTTCATCTTATAATTCACAGAAACCTCTGAAAGCATTGCATTAAAGCGTCTAAACAACATGGCAAATCATTCAACATATATTTAACTTGTGCACACCACAAACACCAGCGGGAAAAGGCCTGACACAAGGCGTAAAACTGTAATTTAGCACCTATTTTATCATCTTCAAAATAGGCACCATTAAGGGATGCCGTCGTGGCGGGCGTGCTCCTGTGGCATCTGTGCAACATCTTGAGATTCCAAATGCACCACTTAGACCATGCTCTGACAGCTGGTTGCATTATCCTCTGCATTTCGCACATGACTCGCTTCAAGGGAACTTCAAAAAAGTCACACTTCAAAGGGTCCATCAGCTTTATTGCAGGGGCACAATCAAAACGTCCTCGCCTAAAACACCGCCAGACACTCCGGGCTTTTGTGTGCGGTCGCCAAATCAAACTCAATTAAGTGGGAAATGTCTTGCTTGGAAGTTGCCGGTCATTAGCTATGTTTGAACTTGTGTTTAAGGACGGCAAAGAGCAAGGTGCCCCAGTGGAAATAAGACAAAGACTGGGTTAGGCCCGAAGACAACTTAAAAAACGTCTCAGTAGACCTCACCTTCACAGGCTTGTATACGTGCTCTGTGCTCTGTGGTCTCACCGTGACCCTTGCCAGAGCCTTGCCTGATCCCAGCCTGACCTAACCCCAACTCAGAACACCTTGATTTCCCCAGCTGCACTATGGGTCTAGAGGTTATAGAGCCCAATGAGCCGTATATCCACCCATCCATGAAAGACTGCTGCGCTGTCCGTTCATGTTGGTTTACAGTTAGAGGTGATGCACTGGCACGGAACACAACACAACAATATGCAAGAATTATTGATGATTGATTTGGTTTGGTTGGGTAGGTCTTAAGGGAAGCAGGAGTCGAAAGGGCAGATGACAAATCTGGCGGCTTCTGAAACTTGGTCAACATCCTTACATTAGGTTACTTATATATACATATGTCATGCCTGTTTTAGAATGTGTCTGTTTGTGTGTCCATGTTAAATGTTATAGAGTATGGCATAAAAGCTACAGTATGTATTTCCGATGAGATAAGGTTTACAGGTTTTTTACATACAAATAAAATATAGTTTTACTGCACTTACAAGTGAAACTCAGACAATTTGAATATTGATCAAAATTCCATTCACCTCTGAAATTATGTTATTATGCATTTTATCATATTTTACACATCTGCAAGTTGATATGTGATGTGAGCTGATATGTGTTTTTTTAGTTTTTCAGGTTTTAAAATAATGATTTAACATTAAACTAACACTATTTAATAAACATTATGAAATACGCATTACACACATTGTAAATATTGAATATTTTGATTGACTGCCATAATTATATCACAAATTGGTTTCAGATATTAAGTTTTAAGTTAAATTATGGAAATAAATGAACTTCTGAACCATATTCTAGTTTTCAGAATTGTACCTGTTTTAGTTAAGACAATGCACAGTCACACAATTAGCAGTACTACTATTATTAAGTATTAAGCATTAGTCTTATTTTTGGTTTTGTGTTTTGTGATTTTCCAAGAGGGCGGTACACATACCGAGCTGATACTCCAGGAGGTATCCCGTGAGAATCCCATTTGGCTCCAGCGGCGGGGCCCAGGTCAAAGTCACACTGTGCCGCTGTACACCCATGACCCTGAAGACCGGATTCTGCTCGGGCACTGCGGAGAGACAAAGCACAATGAACACTTGAATTTCATGTAAATACTGATTTGCCTTGTTTCTGTATAATGTAATTGTGTCACTTTTTTTCTTGATGATTCCAATAAAGATTTAAAAGAAAACAGAAAAAAAAAAGCGTAGAACCCTCCTGGTCTAATATTTTGACTCCCCCCTTTTTAGAAGTTATGAATCAATACGGGCCACGCTGTTTTTGTGCCAGCCTTCCCTACCTCCCTCTGGGGTCTTGAAGTTGACAGGGTGGCTGCCGGGTCCGCTGCCTCTGCCGTTGAAGGTCATGAGGATGAGGCTGTACTCGGAGAAGGGGACGAGGCCGCGCACTGTGGCGTGAGTGTGCTCCCCGGGGACGTTCAGCGAGTGTTTGTCACCGTGTTGTTTCTTTGAGTCGACCAGACTGCGCAGACGCCACCAGTTGATCTGAAGCGAGGACAGCGGAGAGAGCGGCGTGAGTCTGAGGCCGATGGCAAAGTTTCAAATGTTTATATAGCAAAGCGTAACGTTTTAAATGTTGCAGAGATTTGTGATCGATCCAGCTCTGTGGAAAAGGTAAGAGGTCATATCAAATGTACATCTGCCTATGAATGATCCAAGAGAGAATGGGTTTATGGCAGTTTGTGAGGCATTGACTTGAAACGTCTACTTCCTAAGAATCAAATTAATGATAAAACCAAACTACAAGACACTGTGTTCTTTGATGAAACTACGTCAAAAGGATTGATTAATAAAAACAGCAAAATAATTACAATATTTGAACGAAGACATACAACACATTTCTGCCAATACAGCTCTGATGATGTGATATCTAATCTTGTGCACTTAATTAATGACAATTACAATCACAAATGTTGATGTTTTGCACCACCTGCATGTACAAGTCAAATCTGACCTCTGGGAACAACAGGTGCCACAGTGGGGCGGCTGCGGCTGTAAAGTGCCAAACTATGGTTGTGCCCTTATGGTTATAGGCGCCTATGACACATACTAGTTGCCTCACTTCTGTCAGTGTGCCCCAGGGCAGTTGTGGCTACAGTAGTAGTTTATCACCACTGGGTATGGAGTGAAAGAATAATGACATGTGAAGCGTCTTTGAGTGTCTTAAAACGCACTAAACAAAACCAATGCATTATTATTACCATTATGTTAACACAAATTCCCTGAATGTATCCAATATTTTGTCAGTACAGTGTTGTTTAATATTTAAAATAGAATAGTTTCTAAGTCACAATGCTATTAAATTACTACCAATCTATTTGAGCTCCAACTTCACACGTGTGATTGTTCAGACAAGATATTCCATTCTGTTTTAGCCTTGTCGATGATGATGATGATGATGCTAAAAGCTGCGTACAGACACATTAAGAAGCCGAGTGAAGAGGGCCCAGTGGGTGAGATATAAGTGTGGGGGCGCTCGGTCAGGCCCTTTTCCTTTTAAACTGTGTCTGGAGCCGAAAGGTGTTCCTGAGGCTTTACCCTGTAGCCGCCCAGATGTCCGTGTAACTTGTCCTTGTGCACCGGCGCCCAGCTCACATTCACCGTGGAGCCGTTCATCACCTCTACGCCAACGTTGTCCGGAGCAGCGGAGGGAACTGCAAAACGGCAAAGGACTGTAAGAACTGGGACAAGTGCTCTGGCTGGACTGAAATACAGGCATGTACAGCTCACATTGAGATGATTGCAAAATGTTATATTGTCTTGGAAATACTGGGAAAAGGACTAAGGAAACTACTATGCTATATTCTAAGCTCATTGACAAAACTGGGGTGGATTATGACCTGCGTTGACCTCCTGAGGACATGTCCAGAAGAAAGCTAAACAAAGGAAGTACACTTTGATAAGAGCGATGTATTAAACATTTACAATGCTGTTAAGTATAATTGGGAAACTGTATGTTTTATTTATAAAGTATTATTACTGTATGTGTAATCTATGAAATATGACCTGAGCGTCATACAGTGGTGCTGATCAAAACCAATAGAAAACGACATAATTCTTCAGACAAAGTGGCCATAAATACGATTACTTTTTGCTACTGACACAATGACATGGTAGTGGGAGATTTTTTCTTTTTTTTCTTAATCATTAACGGGTAAATTATGTATCAATTATCCATAAAGTCATGTATTAGAACCTATATAAACTGGGTCAAATGATACCATATAAAATAAACTACTGAAAAGATGATAGACTACATATAGATGATCAGTATTGGACCCAAAATTACAGTATAATTTATTGTTTTCCAACAGTTATGGAAGTCAATAGTGAATATCTGGACGAGCCAAAACACATGAACTGACCAGACAAACAGTCCAGGTCTTTTGGCACATACAGAAAAGTTACAAGACATAAGTCAGACAGTAATTAATGACAAAATTAAATATACGTGGAGGGCAGCTGCTTCTTACCACATGAACTAATTCAACAAAATGAAATGAAATGTGTGTAAAACATAAGGAGGAAGTGCACATACAGTCCTCTCCAGAATATCCCCTCACGATCTTGGGCTCCGGTCCCCAGCCCTGGTTGTTCTTGGCTTGGATCTTGATTTCGTACGGGACAAACGTGGGAGTATTCTTCACCACAAAGGAGTGGCGTTTCACCATCTGCTCGTGCCAGTCCTCCTGAATATCCTGCCGCCTATAGCTCACCTTGTACTCCAATCCGGGACCATTGTGTTCTATGGGCAATAAAGGCTGCGGACACAATGCGGGGCAAACATAGTGAAAAGGAACAGCGGTCAAAGGTTTCAGAAAGACTTCCCCAATTGCATAAGGCAGGCTGTTGTATTTCAATGGCTGCCTCGGTGGGGGTAAAGTGACAAGCTGGCCCGGTGTACTGTGTTTGGAACAGTAGCAGCATTTTATCTTGCTATCTAGTAAAACAATGGAACAATTGACCTGGACTTACAGCCCGGCTCGGCTTTGATATTGGCTTCGCAAAGGCATTGTGGATGAAAAGATATATCTTGCCACAGAAGCTTGGGCCGTCGGTGAGAAATGGAATGAGAAACCATTACATACAAAAGCAAATCATTAGCAGACGGGGAAGCACATAGATCTGGTATTCTGTGAGAGATGACAGAGAAGCTGGATAATAAGGCCAGAGCTGGAAGTCAAATATATCGCGTCTTAAAGGGGAGTTTCATTCCACCGTGTTTGTCATTGTACAATAATTCTAACAGCTATGAATAAGGGCCAGTGTAAAGATTACCACTGCAGATGGAAATGTCTGAACGTCGCAGTTTCTCATTCCAAATTTCGCATTGATAATTGTCTGCGGCGTATTGATAAAACCTCGCCATCTTGAGTCCCGTCGGCTTTGTGAATAATTCAGTTTGTAAAGGTAGCCCCAACACCACAATGCACAGCCACCTGATAAGCAGAAGCCTTTCTCCGCCCCTCACCTCCCAGTTGATATCCATTTCATGTGGCAAATGGCCTTCGATTTTGATAGCTTTAGGGTTCTTGTCAGGTGCTGCAAAGAGAGAAAAAAAAGAAAAGCACTATAGATTTTGCCAGCATTGTTAGGGAAGAAACCTCTAGTGGAAAAGATGTACAAGAGAGCAGATTTTCAACCAGAGGGGAATCAATTATGTAGCAGTGTTTTAAAGTTCAGCTCAGCAAAGTGGGCCAGACAAGTGGCCCAGAAAGTCCCTGAAAGTCTGCTTTATAATAAAGAATGTATATAGCAAACTATATTGCTCTAGGAAACTGTAATATACTGCATAATGTGATAACGGCCGTTACAGACATATTGTGTGCTAGCATCATTAAGTTTAGCTGAGGATGTTGTACGATACACATTCATTGTTACGATGATATTGTAAATCTGTGAACACACATAAGTATACTTGTATACATATTCTTTTTTGATAATAGTTAAGTTGTAGTGTAGTGATTGTTTATATATTGTCATTATTTTTATGGTAATAAAGACACAAGAATCAACATTACAGTAGCTAATACGTTGATTCTTGAAATACTAATATTAAGTATTTTGTATGCATACCTTGATCTGAAGGGATTTGAACCCCTGATCTATTTTTTCCTGAATTATTTGAATCCAGGAGGATAATGAAGCAGTACAAATTAACAACTGTTGTAATATGACATATGACAATCAGGGCCCTTCCTTGAATCCTTTAACTTTTAGACTCGACTAATCAGGCAAGAACTTCTTCCTAAACATTATTAAAGTAAAACATTGTTTGAAATGATTGTCTCAGTCATGCCATACTTTTATTTGCCGTGTGTACTAGAATAGTGTAATTGCTCATCCACCACAGCAGGTGAATGCTAAAAACAATGTCAATAAAGGGGGACCTGGCAGAAAATAATGAGAAGGACTTGTCTATCTTAAAAAAGTAATATAGTGAATTGAGTGAATAAGCCTTGTGACACGTTCATAAGCATCTCGTAACACTCACACATTTGTCAAATGTAATTAGGATTAAGAGGAAGAGATTCTTTATTCGTTACACAGTGGGGAAAATGCAACATCTTCATACTTAACAAGTCCTTTAATGCCTGCATCGCAAATAAATATTTGTATCTCAATAACATCCGCTACATGCCAGCTCAAAGAGTAGTGAAAGTACAATCCAATTATTCCAAAGTAATTGGTTTAAAAGCTTGTTGAATGGAATCAAACTGGACCATGCACGGGATCTGGTTTTCACGAGTGCTCCTTAAACACACTCTTTGAACCCATGTCAAAAGAAGGTTCTGCATACTTTCTACATTAAACAAAAGCTTCAAACCTGTAGCTTGTGTTTTGTATCTCTCGGTGGGTTCGCTGTAGGCGCCCCTCCCGACCTCGTTCACACCCGCCACTCTGAAGCGGTAGTCGACGTGACCGTGGAGCTTCAGCAGAGCGGAGTGAAGATTCCCGGGTACTCGAAGCAGCTCCTTCCACTTCCCTGGCTCCCACTGGCTCTCTTCAAACTGGATAATAAACTCTGTTGACAGCAAAAGACAATCAGGACGGCCCCTCACCACCTCCCCGGCTGTTTATGCTAAAGGTTTGCTTATCTAACCGCCAGCTGTGTAGAAAACTCCCTCAGACCGTGCTCTGGGCGTGTGTACCCCAGCGGGAGACTAATCACAATCCATACACGGATGAATCAAAATAGAGTAATTTTGTACAAGATGGTATCAAGCAGATGTATTAACATTCACAATTGTTGAATATGTGTGCAAAGCAGAGCCTGGGATACTAATTGCGCTGATCAGAATGGCTCGTACGGATGCACCGTCACAGCCGCAGTGTCGCAGATGCCACGTTTTACCTGTTGTGGAGCTGTTGTGCTCGTCCCCTGGGATCCATTTGAGTTTCACACTTCTCCCGTTGTGTTCAGACAGGACCAAGCTCGCTGGTGCATCAGGGACGTCTGGAAACAACGCGGGAGATTAGAGGAATATCTGACACATCAACTTTTATCACGGAGGAAAGGAGCGGCGGAACATATGTTGAGCGGTTTTCATGTCGAAGAGGGCTAAGGCTAAGCTCCATTGACGAGGGTATACAGCGGGGATCAAACCAGACAAGAATGATCTGATCTCTCTGAAGGGAGAAGCACATGCTGTGTTTTAACGCACAACACAACTCAGGAAGGATAAAGAAGGTACACACAGCCAAGAAAGTATTGTCAATATGGCTTATAATTGGTATGGTCTCTTTTCTGCTGACATTGTGCAATTGTTGAAAGAGGTAATAAAGAAAAGGCTTAGAAAAAAAAGTGTGCCGTCACAATGAAAACCAAAGCACTTTTTTAATTTTCAATGTTTTTGGTGATAGAAAACAGATCAATGCCAAGAAGTACAGCGTCATATATAAAAAATTAAAATCACTGAAAAATCTAGGTATAAACCTTATATTTCTCCTCATAACATATTGATGTATCTGAATGTTTTGTGCTTGCGTGCACTTGGGAACGAGATCTCAGCAGCGAGACAGTGGAAATAGAGAAAGAAGAGTTTTTGGAGGAAGAGAATAGTTGTTTTGCTTTGGGAAAGTTGGATATAACGTGTGTTCATTCCAAGACACAAACTCTAGAGAACAAATCCTCTCACTGCGGCGCTGTGGCGGCATTAGGTTTGAGCATGCGGCAGCGCCTCATTTTCACAGTACTGCCGAGAAAACTTCAATGACCAGTTAAGTTTCTTTCTAAGTAACTCCACATGCATTATAAAGGTTCACTCTGGCTGCTTTCTAAAGAAGAGCCCATGTGGCATGGCCCAGGGTCAGTCATAGTGAGCGGAACAAAACTCAGAAAGTTTTTTACAAAAAAAGGTGATTACATTCTCAGTCCCTGCAGAGGTAAATATAACTTTTACAACATTAAAAATGTGTGAACTATAGTAAAGTTTATGCTTTCTTATGTGTTTTCTGTTTTATTGTTTGAACGGTTTGACTTTAGGGTGATTTAGGGATATACAAGAATAAATTGAATTGAATTGCTTCGGAAATTCAGAAATAATATAAAATTTGGCACAATATACAGCAACACTTGAGTGTCAAGAAAGGCGCCTAAGAAATAAAATGTATTATCATTATTAATATTAATAACAAACGCTTTTTCATGACAGATGAATAGAATATGGTCGCTCAGTAAAATCGACCTGGCAGCCATAATCTACACCCTAGTACTAACACTTGTCATCACGATACATACAGTACTATACAAAAACAGATGACATGTGATCATAATTCTACATATAATGAGGTAGTAGTGTTAAAACTATGGCGTGTCATGTTGTATGTGAAAGATAGGGAGCTTGGTTAAGTGGCTCAATGAAATAAGACCTTCCAGCAGACCTCCAAAGTCTCTAGGCACTTCCCAATAAAAGATAAGTACACCCAGACTATATACTTTTACAGAGCGAATCAAACATTTCTCCCATGAGCATGTTCTTGGCAATAGTAGCAAGGGAAAATTGCCTTTTAACCTTGGGCAGACTGGCTGGGTAACTATGTTAGAAAGTTACAAAAAGTAGAAGTTAGAAGTTGTGAACCATATGTAATCTCTAACTAAAATGTACAGTAAAATAAAACAACACAAACTAAACCTGGTAAGAATTGGCTAGCTTCCATATTTTGACATCCTTCAGAAGTGTATTCATCATTACTTAAAATATGGATAAATACAGAAAATACAGAGAAAATGCTTTGTGTGACTAATGTCTACGTTTAATGTCAGACTGTGCAGCGAGAGTTGAAAGTTTATATATGTTTGGGAATAATTATGAATGATAACAACAAAAATCCCTCTTGTCGTTAGTGGTTGTGTGATGCTATTTATTGTTGAACAAACACTTTTTTTTCAAATTATGACATAAATTAGCCACTGTGGGATTATCGCCGCTGGAGATTTTTTTTGCCAAGAAGAATGAGCAGCTTTACCATTAGAGAGGATAAAGAATCTCATCCTTCAACTTCATAACAAAAGACTACAATCTGTCATAGATGTTAAAGGGGCTAAACATGCTATTGAGACCCGGGGGATGGAAACTTCTCATCAGGGTAAATTGAGTGGTTTATGTTGTGATTATAATTTGGAAATAAATGACTCTACACACCCACTAACAATGAGTGAAAACATGTGTTTTGCCTTATCATCCATAATCTCTGAATTATGGCCCAAAATATTCATCTAAAATTCGGTCTGGGTGTGCAAACTTTCAAGCACAACTGTTTATGGTTGAAGTAAAGACATGGAAAAAAATGTAAATGTTGTTGAATTTAAAGCTGCTCTGCTTGTGTACACGTCACTCCATGGCCTTGCACCAAAGTACATTTGTGACATGTTGTTAAAAGTGTCAAATGAACCAACTCAGACTCGGAGGAGCACAGGGACAAAACATGGGGAGGCTGCATTTCAGATTCATGCAGCTAACACATGGAACAGTGTGAAAATGTGAGACAGGTTTCTACTCCGACAATATTTAAATCCAGTTTAAAAACAGTTCTTTTTGTCTGTGCACACAACATAAGGACTGAATGTCAGGAATTTGCCTTATGGACTGTGCCATACAAAAACACTTGCCTTCACTCAAAAAAAAGTCATACAGGTTTCATAAAAAAATACATAACTTGAATGATGAATTTGAAAGAACCAATCTGACTTATATGATTCCTCACCTAAGACCGTGAGCCAGGCCGATGCCGCGGCCTGGTCGAGCGGCGTCCTGGCCACGCATCTGTACAGGCCCTGGTCCTCGTGGCTCACATTGATGATATGAAGAACTCCCTCCTCCGCTAAGTATCTGCTGACAGGAAGATAGGAGACAGTCGCAGTATTGATTGACAAACGTGAAACCACAATCCAGCCGAGACCGAGAGAGCGGCGCAAAAACTCCGCGCTCCCTACCTTGGATTCTCAGTGTAGTTCAGTCCGATCTCCATATCATCTTTTTCCCACAGGAGCTCAAAGTCATTGCTGAAGGACTTGTCGTACTCTGCCAGGCATGAGAGCTCTGCAGAGGTACCTATTAAGATCTGCTTCTCCTCTGGGCCCACCACTATTCTTGTGGGATCTGCCATAGGTACAGTACACCGGTATTAGTTGCATTCCGAGGACTGCGAAAAGACTGGAGCGTTTGTCTAGAAAACAGATTACCTTTTACATATAGTTTGGCGTCAATAGCGGAAGATCCCTCGATGTTCTTGGCGTAGCACGTGTACTGTCCCCCGTCATCTTTGTCCGTTTCGTAGATTTCCAAAGAGCCGTTGTCGTGGGTGTAGAATCGAGGGCCTTGCACGGGTTCGAAGGAGTCGTCTCTGCTCCTGCGGGCACGGGGAATGGGGTGATACGCTTCAGAAGTGTTTTGAAGCATCAGAGAATACATCATGTAGGCACCGATGGCAGCAGAAATTGGTCATTTTTCTTGAACAGTAAGGGTAAAATGGGTTGGACAAATTGAACAAGGTTAAGAAAACTGGCTTCAGGGGAGGTGAGTTTGACCGTGTGAAATATAGCTAGATGTTTTTGAATGTATTTATTTACCTTCTACTTCTACTATATATGATGAAAGAAAGAAAGACAGAAAGGGAGCAGCAAGATTAAACTAACTTAAATTGCAATTGTCAGAATTAGCATCTTGGGAGTGCAATTATTTAAAGTACTAAACTTTTAAAGCACAAAATATTGCACTATGTAATATAATACAATACGACTTCGTATCTTACTTATATCAAACTTCAATCAAAACAGTTCCTTTGTTGCATCTTTACAGTATATCAGCTTTTTCCAACAGAAAATGAAAAAGAGAGGACCAGCCTCACTCAGTTCTGAGCCCAAATAGTGTACAATAGTAGTCTTTCTTAGAAGGTATGCAAAATTAACATGTTGTCTAATTAGATAAAAAAGTATGGTGTGACCTGATTTGTACACAACACGCATTATTTACGAAATTCATTATATCTTACATGTATTGAGCTGGATGCGATTTTTTTTTTTAGCTCATTTAGCTTAGTCTTCAACAAAATGTTGATGTTTCTTCTTCAAGAAAATAAAACAGAAATAGCAAATCAAGTTGTTATTGTGTAATCCTACACAGTACAGATTTGAATGTTTAGTGGAAACCGAAAATATACACTGAGTAAAATGTACTTCTAACTTTGTAAAAAAATAAATACATGTTAATACTGTGGCATTAAGCCGATAGGAATAATTTTGGTAATAAATAACTGACCTAAAACAGGGTCTGTGTCAAAGAGTTGAAATAATGACTTTATCTAAAACGTCTGATGAAGATTAAAGCCTGACGCTCAGTGCTGAACAGAACTCATGTTAGTCATAGCTGCTACAGTACTGCCCTCTGCTGGTGAACACTCACCAGGTGATGGTGGACGGAGGAGAGCTGAAGACGCTGCAGTGCATGGTGACCCCCTTCCCCTCCACAGCTGAGTACTCTTCTCCCTCATTGGTCAGGACCAAGGGAGGCAGATCTGAGCACAAACACCTCATCAGTCACGGTTACTGTCCTGTAGTGTCAGGGTCGTGTGTCTTTGAGCGATGTTCAGGGGTTTAGTCTTAGTCTGATAATTAGATCAAATGATTGTATAATATAATATTGTCGCATAAGGCAATCATTCACTTATACTGTACCTTCTTCTCATGAAAAAGGCCAATTTTACAATCACAAACAACATTTATGGGCGTTTATTAACATTTATGGACTGTGGTCATCAGAGGTGTCAAAAGTACCAGTGTTCAGTACTTAAGTAAAAGTACTAATACTTTTGCAAAAAACTACTCTGGTAAAAGTAAAAGTACTGCACCCTCTGCCTTACTTAAGTAAAAGTAAAAAAGTACATACTCTTAGATGTACTTAAGTAAAAAAGTAAAAAGTAAATCAATATTTTTCCTCTTAAAAAAAAAAAAAACAAAACTTGTTTTGACCTTCAAATTCTTTATTCTTTTACTCAGACTCAACTCAGAGTACTGCTGCACCGAACAAAATAAATGTCACTTTGTGTGAAATTAAATGCACATCCGACAATGTAGTAATACCCGTAAGATCATTCAAGAGCGCCTGCAGAATGTGGTATTTTCATCATTCCTATAACTTAAACTACAAACTGTAAAAGTGCAAGAAAAACAAAGTGCAAAAACATCCCAAATAACTTGGAGCTTATAGTATGACCAAACTATACAATGGGAAAATGGAACCATCCCGATATATAAGGGGAAAAGCAAACTACCAAAATTTTGGATTTAGCTTCAACAGAAGCATGTTTTCAAGGTTTTGTGAATGGATGCGTGCCCTTTTGGGTCGGAAAATGAGTCCTGCTGTGCTGAAGAGCCTTTCGCAGGCAGCAGAAGCAGGTAGTGGAGTGTTCAGCTGTAGTGAAAGGTTCAGGACTGCAGGAAATGACTTCAAGATTTCCATGGTGTCATTGGGACAGGCCAGGTATGACTCAAGCTGTTTGGTGTTTTCTTGCAAGTTCCCTTGCTTGATAGGTGAAAAAAAGTCATCTTCCTCTGAAGAAGGCGTGGAGTCACTGACAGTCACAGGTAGCTCTTTGAGATGGCTTTTGATGTAGTCAAGGCCTATCAAAAACACAGTGCAAATACAGCAATATTAGTACACCATACATTTTTGCATTAACCATTCAAATACATGTCTCTTAAGTAAATATAACAGATCAATGCACAAAAAAATAAAACAAATAAAAATACACACCGAGTTGTAGAAGGCCCTCATCTGTGGTCCAGCATCTTCTGAATTTGGGCACCAGAATGGAAGCTGCAATGAGCTCAGGATCCTTGAGCATCTCACCAAAGCGCTTCTGAAGTCCAGATTGAAGAGCATCTATGAGCGGCACACAGCACTTGGAGGAGAGTCGAAGGTGTTGTAGTTTAGTCTTGAGAAGAGTAATAGTGGGAATGAGCCAACCCATCTGCACATTGGTCTCTCCTTGAAGAACATCAATTGCCTTTGCAACAGGACACATTATCTTGACATATTCACTGAGAAAGGCAATCTCAGCAGGAGAGAGCCTGAATAATAAAAAAAAAATAATAATGATAAAACATCAGTGGCTACTAAAGAGAAACAAGCACAAACTACATTACACATTTTAAACTGTATGTTACATGATTATTAAACTTAATATAATATAAATATCATAAAAGTTACTCACATGGGCAATTTAAGTGTAGTACACACAGCTGTGATGGCTCCTTCTCCTTGTTCTCTCATGATTCTTATTATTCTCTCAACAGCCAGGTACATGGAATTCCACCTTGTGTCATTGGGCCTCAGGAGCTGGAGTTTACATTTTTCCTCAATGATTTCAGCCGCAGCAGTAGATCTCCCACTTTTATTCCACAGGCCCCAGCATTTTGAAAAGGCTGACCGGGAAAGTCGTTTGTACGTTGCATTTGCATTGGCATCTGAAACGTCAACAGTTGACACCAGGTTGAGAAGGTGGCAGGCACAGCGATGGTGCTTGGGAAGTTGGTATTCAAGGCCATCATCTTCGTTCAATAATGTTGTTGCTTCAATGAAGTTTATATTTCCCTCCTGTTCTCTTTCCTCACCTTCACTGTTTTCACTTGCATCCGATTCACTTTGCCTTTCCTGGTTATTATTTTCCTCCCCCTCTCCATACACCCGGAAAGCTTTGATGAAATTTGACCCATTGTCTGTTGTTGTGCGTACAATTTTGTCCCGAATGTTGAATTCTGTGTGAATGTCATTCAGTGCTCGAGCTAGGCTGTCAAATGTGTGTGAACCTCTTAACTGTTTGCATGCCAGTGCTACAGAGCATCTAGTCATAGTTTCTGTCTCAATCCAATGTGCAGTGACTCCAAGGAAACTTCTCCTGTGTGCGGTCCAACAATCAGTAGTAGTTGCAATGAACTCAACCTCATTCATAGCAGCTTTAAGATTTTTCTTCATTTCTACTGTAGCTTTTTCGACCCTGTTTATCATTGTGCCCCGGGACATTATTGTCACATCTGGTTGCAGGTGATTGATCATAGCTTTGAAACCCTGCTGCTCGACAATGCTGCCTGGGTGCAGACCTTGAATGACAAAGTTCAAAATGAATTCATCCACACTCTTCTGCGAGACCCTCTTGACATCCCACAATTTAAGCTGTTTGGATGAGCCTTCATCAGATGTGGACGACTTCCTTTTCAATGGAGCTGCAGTGAAATTTTTGTATCTTTCCAAATGATTGGCATGTTTCCTCTGTTTGCAAACAAAATATAAAAACAGATCAGCTCAAATGTATTCCTTGCATTAAAATAATACAAGCATATATTCGTAACACTGAGTTACTATACAACACAAAGTGTTGTATTGTAAAGTGTTGATAGTTATTCAACAGCTTGATTTGAACTGAGCAATAACACGATGAGATTTTAAACATATTTCCACAGCCAAAACGAGACTTAAAAAAATAAAATAAAATCTAAATGTGTGGCTACTTTTACGGTTATGATTTGGGAGTGGGAGAATAAATGTGTAAAATGTGTAAATCGTATCAATGCAAACGTGACATGAGTTACAGCTAGTGCGGCAGACCACAAGCTAGCACCACTTTCTTGCAAACTAATAGTGCCCCCAAAGCATTACTGACACACTTATATCTTTTTAAAACCTCCAGAATTAATCAAATGTAGCCTATACTAGTAACAACAATACGAAATCTAAATAACAAACCTGAATGTGCTTCTTCAGATTGGACGGTGAATTCTTGAATGCCAAAAGTTCGTGTTTTTTGGGCAAGCACAGGTTGCACTGCATCCGCCACGAATCATTCTTATAGCCAACAACAACGAAAAGTTCTTTCAGGTAAGGCCATGGGTGCCGTGTTTCTTGTCTTTCGGTGTCTGCGGAATCATCCTCGATGACGCTGTCCTGCTCACTTTCCTCCATACCGTCTCATTCACAGTCACAAGTTAAAAACACGGCGTGACTATCCATGTGCTTGACTAGCTTGCGTCCTATAGCTTCCTGTTTGTATTTTATTAATTTATTTATTTTTTAGCTTCCTCTTTTTCAGCGCTGGTTGGCCCGGGTTTTTACGTTGTGTTGTCGCTCAACTTTGGAGATTTTAAAAGTAACGACCTGATTTTTTAAAATGTAGGGAGTAGAAAGTACAGATACTTGTGTTTTAAAAGTAAGGAGTAAAAGTAAAAAGTCGCAACAAAAAAAAATACTCAAGTAAAGTACAGATACCTGCAAAATCTACTTAAGTACAGTAACGAAGTACAAGTACTTCGTTACTTCCCACCTCTGGTGGTCATTCCTATGGACCAATGGGTTCTATGTGTTTGACAGTACTGCAGTTTCTGTGCTTGAATTGGTTGATTCTTTGATCGGTTTTTGACAAATCGACAACTTTGCAATGTCCACAGACGACTGCAGTTGTGATTTATGGCTTTACACAAATAAATGGAATCAAATTACAGACTTCACTTTTTTATCCTGTTTCCTAATATAGACTATCCTTTAACCTACTTAATTACATGCATATAATGTATTTATTCAAGTGGTCAGACAGCTGTCTCACAGAAAACAAAAGAAAGCAACAGCTCAATATGAGGCAATTAGAGAAGGAGGCCGTTGTGTCTTATCAGCCTTCAACCACTTCTTATTAATATGCTGTCTTTCATAAATGTTTACAAAGGAAGCAGCTTTGCATTCAGCATATGTCTAGCTCTATTAAAGCCTGCATTATCAGACCACACACATTGGTGCCACACAAAACCCATGATGCATTTAGGGTTAGAGTTAGGGTTAGGTTTGCTTGAATAGAACCGAAACTGGACCAAAGAGAAAAGTATTGTAGACTGATATACAATAAACTGTCATTATTTTGGGTTCAATTATCAGAGTATGATTAATTATATAGTTGTTATGGAGAGATAACCTTTAAAATGATATAGCAATGGCCATATTAAGTTAAAAGTAAACACATAACGGTGAAATATTATTCAAAAGTATTTAACCATTCTGATAAAAACTCATTACGTGCTAAGTGGCATATGCCAGGCCATTGTTTGTTATGCATTTGATGATTATGGCAATTATCATTATAGTCCATTTTGAAAATCATTGTCCGAGATGTTTTATTTTGGGGTTTTAAACAAGCTGTGATGAAATAGTGCAGTGAGTCTGGCATATAGTTTAATAATAAGTTTCTAATTTTCGGAGTTTCAGTATATTTTTGTTACATTGAATAACGTATTTAGTCTCTGAACCTGGTGAAAGCATTCTCTTTCATAGATCTTTACAAAAGAAGCAGCTGGGCATTCAACACATTATTCAACACATATTCAACCAGACTTTATGTATATCTAATATCACAAATCTAATGTGTAGTAAACATTCCTGTATTTTGAGAGAACTTCTAGAATAAATGTATGTGAAATACATTGTCAACTTTCCCGTGGTTTTGTGGGTATCTGGCGGCAGTAGCTCAGTTGGTAGAGCTTTGGCCTTTGAGCCAGAAGGTCGTGGGTTCAAGCCCCGCTCAAGACTTTCACCATCGACTCCCACTGACTACTGTCGTTGTGTCCTTGGCAAGACACTTAACCTCTGGGAACACCAGCCACAGTGGGGCGGCTGCGGCTGTAAAGTGCCAAACTGCCGTTGTGTCCTTAGGCAAGACACTTCACCCCCATTGCCTAGAATGAGTCTGGTGTGTGTATGAATGGTTGGTGGTGGTCGGAGGGGCCGATGGCGCATACTGGTTGCCTCGCTTCTGTCAGTGTGCCCCAGGGCAGCTGTGGCTACAGCAGTAGTTTATCACCACCGTGTATGGAGTGAATGAATAATGACACATGTGAAGCGTCTTTGAGTGTCCAGAAAAGCGCTATATAAAACCGATGCATTATTATTATTATTATTATCTGGCCTCATCCATGACTCAGACTGAACCAACTTTATTGAATGAAAAGTGTGAATGAATCAGAAATGCATTAGCTAAGGGCCGTGTTGGAGCTAACGGCTAAAACAAGATGAGTAAGTACAAAGCCTGCTTCTTCACTCAAAAGTGCAAATGAATAGAGTTTTATAAGCAGTGACTCACTCATAATCATGATGTTTGCGTTGACCAATAAGGTTCCGTGTTTGTTGGATGCCTCGCACTGGTACACCGCACTGTCAGCCTCCTTAGTGTTGTGAAGAACTATTGTGTCGCCCAGAACTCTTCTGTTGGGTATTGGGGAACCTGTAAGAAATCAAACCGGTTTCATAACATAATGGAATCATTTAGTTTTTGTTTAGTTTGTGTGTGCGTGCGTGTGTTTGTGAGTGTGCAGCCACCCACCACCCTCTTTGCCCCCATTTCCCTTCCTTTACGAGCATGTCCGATGAGGGCCGTGGGATTGATACAATTGACTGCGATTGATGCGCTTGACTTCTCAGGAAAGTTTTTGTTAAATAAGTAATTAGGTAATCTTTATTTATATAGCGCCTTTCACAAACCAGAGTCACAAAGCACTATTGTACATGTTTTTAGTGGTAGGGGAAACCGGAGCACCCGGAGGAAACCTATGCAGACACAGGGAGAAAATGGAAATCACAAAGAAAGGCCTGGAGGTTAAATCAAATCCAGAACCTTCTTGCTGTGAAGCACAAGCGCTAACCACTGCTGCACCGCGCCACCCGTGCTTTGTGGGTGTGTATTTTACGGGTTAATGTTCACACTTGATATTCTTATTATTACATTATTGTAAAACACAGAGAACTGACCAGTGAGAGGTTCTCCGTTGACTCTCCATGTGACAGAGGGGTGAGGGGTCCCTCTGGCCGAACACTTCAAGATCACGTCTGAGCCGACCATACTGAGCTGACTCTCCGGCTCTGACACCCATTCTGGAGGCTCTACAAACATGCACAAAAGTGAACATTGATGTGAGTATTTTCTATTTTTAATACTTGAACAAACACAAATGAAAATCCAACTTTTTTGTTGTTAAATTGTTACAATTGCTCTACTATACTGTTTGTAACATTTAAAATAAAGGCATCTCATACGCTACATGAGGGTTAACTCAGTGATCACCAATATGACCAAGCATAGTTTGAGCTTGAAACACACAAATGGTTGTGAGTGAACCATATTTATGAACTGGATAATGACTGATACATTTTCTGTGTGCATACTCACCTCTGCAGACATGTGAATGTGTTTGCATGAAATATGTATGATAAATCATGTCAATATTCTTACATAGAGAATTTGTAGTCAGTACATATTGCATAATGTACATATTGCATGTATGTACAGATCTATTGCATATCAACTGTTTTAATTTTAATGACACTCAGGATTTTTTATTATTATGAATTGTTTAGAATGACTGAGAGTTCTACTACTGGGGAACTTTAAAATATCAACTTCACCTTCTACTATGACGGTGAAGTAATGTTGAGTCTCTCCCAGTCCGTTCTTGGCCTTGCACATGTACTTTCCACTGTCCTCCTGCTCTGCACTGGAGACCACCAGCAGCTTCCCATGATTCTCCACTGAGGCTTTTTCAGGAAGTTCCTCACCAATTTTAAACCACTCAACCTGTGGAGTTGGACTAGAGACAGAAAAGCATGAACATAATTTAAGTTATGTATGTTTGATTTCTTTATCATAATTATTATTACTCAACTTAAACTACTTACAATCCTTCAGCAATGCACTCTAAATTAAGGTCCTCTCCTTTGACCAGCACAATTTCTGATCGGGCACCAGAGGGCGTCAGAAGAGAGGGCCTTCTCTCACGGATGGCATTTGCTGTGAAACAATATTGATGCATTAAAAAAAAATTGCATTAAACTTACATTTTACAATACAAAGGTAATAATAGTAATAGTATACATCATGGCACATAGTATAAAGCAATGGATCTTTTCCACTGTACCTGAGTCTGGAAATAAGCCACTTTTTGCTTTATCTGAAATGGGGCGGAATGGGATCAAATAAAAGATGAATAAGATGACATACAACACAATAAAATCACCACAACAAAACAATCTGATACACAAAACATGCTGGATGATTATAAAATGGGACATATTTAAGCATAAGCAGAGAACAATACCTGTTTTTGAACCAGGTACAAGTTTATGCGTCTGTTATATTGATATATGTAAAAATAAGTATTGTGCAGGTTCAAATTCAAAAATAAATACATACTTGTCTGGACGTTGACCGACATGGCGGTTTTCTGAACGATGGTGCGGATCCTGGGGAAGGCGGCGAAGCAGCAGTAGTCTCTTCTGCTGTCCTTCTCCTCCGCGTGAGCAAAGTACAGGTCTCCATTCAGACCCATGGACACTCGCTCATCCTGCTCTATGTGCTGGAGATCTGACACAGAGGGACAAAACTATCACAAATACAGTACCACTCGAGCTGACTAAAAGCCTTGGGAGAATATTCCAATAGCATGTAAGATAAGAAAACACATGAGATCTTTTGTTAGTCGCCCACAGTGGGGAAATTTGAAGGTTGCGGCGCACATACAGGACAGTAGTAAGAGCACACAGGGAGCACACAAAATATACAATATAAGTAGCTGCTATGTTTATTTGCTGGCTGTACATATTCAAGCTGAAATACAAAATAAATGCATTCTATATAACATGTGTATTGAATAATTCTATAACACAAAGGTTACATGGGACATTTATTGTTAACGTTTGTGGTCATCTTGGTTCTATAGACCAATGGTTCCAACATGTTTTATTCTCTGATCTGTTGTTGGCAAATTTATAAAGTCCTCTGAGACGACTGCTGTTGTTATTTAGTTAGGGCGACACAACAAAAAATTGAATTGAATTGAATATCTAATGATTACTCACTGATTGTCATCCAGTAGATCTGCAGAGGAGGGATTCCTTTGGGCGGCTCACATTTTAACACAAACGCTTGTCCTTCATCCACTTTTACAGGATCAATAGTTTCTTTAGGAAACTTTGGGACATCTGTTCAAAGAAGGAAAGGAAGGATTACATTATTTTCAAGTAGTTTTAAATTGTGTCCAGTAGATGGCGGTAATACTCCGGTATGTCTTTCCAGGAGCCAGCGCTGTCACTGTTTTACTGGAAGACAACTGTATTGAATGACTAAAGTGGTTTGACAGCAGATATAAAACAGGCATCGCAGTGCAACGTAAGAAATGTCCCTGCAGTTGAAGCACAGCCAATTTTGGTCAAAGTTCTCTCTAGAGGTGGGAATATTTGGTCAGCTTTCTGAGCAATAACCCAGAAGCATTCACTCCTTAAAGCAATGTAGGAGCACAAATAACACAAATAAGTTGTTTTTACGTAGTTATCATTTTTCTGACCTCTTTTCTGTTTAACAATAGGCCTTTAACCAAATAGTTGAGATGCAAATTGATGGTAAAAGTGTCTAAAACCAAGTGAGATCCCCCAAAGAGGTGTATTTCAGTTCCAAGTTTGCTTAAAGTAGATATTTTGACTCAAAAGGTGATCTACCATGGTTGAGGAAACCAATAAAAGGCTTAAGAATAAAAGGAAGGCAAATGATAGAAAGGTTTGTGTCCAACTCAGAAATGGAAATAATAGAAATATTGGTAGAATAGGCAATAAAGCACTAATATTATCCAATACTTGCGGTATTGCACTACTAGTTAGACGCTAAACTGCATTTCGTTGCATTGTTCTGACTTTGTAATGACAATAAAGTTAAATCTAATCTAATCTGATTTAAAATATGAAATGCTAGAGTGGAGAGGTTCAGTCTTCATCACATAAGGCATATTTCCATTACTCACGAGGTACAATGAATTCAATCTCTGTTGATATGGCCGTCCCGAGCTTGTTGGAGGCAAAGCATCGGTACGTGCCCTGGTACTCTGTAAGGTTTCCATTATTGGGTATAACAAAAGTCCCAGAATTCTCCTCTTTCATGAGCCGGGGGTCTTGAAAAGGGTCGAATTCTTGCCCATTCTTTGTCCATCTGAATCTACAAAACAAAGCCAGTATTGACATGTTAAAAGCAGTCTGCAGCCTGCTCATTTTTCTGCCTTGAGACGAACAGGCTGCTAACAAGTTTAATGCAACATGTTGAAGGCATGCTCCTACAAGTGTTTTTCTATTAAACGAGTAAACGAATGCCAACGGTGTACTCACTCTGGCGCAGGATTTCCTTTGGCATCGCATGTGACGGAAAAGCTCTCATCAAAAGGGAAAGCGATGAGAGAGCTGGGAGACTGGTCTGTGATGGTGGGCAGCTGCTCGACTAAGACACAGACAAACGGTGTGAATCAAAATGCAGCCTCCAGTTCATGACCCTAAATGGTTTCTGACTACATAAAACTTTGCAATGTTTGCGTGTAATTAATCAAACTCGAGGAGGATGTTGTTATGTCTGCTCATGCCAAACAGGGGAAGAATGATGAGTGACCTGGTGAATAGCTGTCTGTTTGTGTTTGTCTCGGCGTGATTACATTGGCGAAAGATGTCCCTCAATGCCTATTGGCCCCTGCTTGCAATGAAGGTACAATTTGCATTCACTAGTGATGTGAGATTGTGCTAAAAGCGAAGAAACGTTTTTCACTTCATCATCTGGAAAAGTCCAGACCAAGCTGAGCAGAAGTCAGATTGGTTCCCAGGGGAGTCCATTTTCCACCTGAAGATTTGAGGAAATGGGGTGGAGTCTGGTGTGCTCCTGCTCGGGCTGGAACTAAAACCTGCAGCCGCTCAGGAACCAGTTTGACACCCCTGCCCTTGTGGCATTTCAGGATGGGTCGAATGCAGAGGACAGATGAAGAGCTAATTTGCAAAACCAGATAAGTGCCATTTGAATATTATGTGACATTTATCTTTCCACAGCAGTTTTATCCAGCAGCAAATCAAACACTGCCAATAAGCGTCAAAGTTTGTAAGTAGATACAGTATGTACTGTTCTTCAAGTTTTGCTATGGAAAATCAACTCTTCAAATGCACCTACAAGTCCAATAAATTATATCTATACAAAGTTGAAGCAGCGATATACATTTTTTTATTTGGTTCATGTAAAGGGAATGGAAGGGAAACTGAATTTGAAATTGATAAAATCGCTTTTATTCGTTAATTGATTGTTTTGTAGCCACTAGCGGTCCTAGATGCATTTGAGTGACGGGTCTAATGCAGAGGACAAAGTGCCTGACGGGGATCTATAAAGTGCACATTTAGATAAGATAAGAGATCCTTTATTCGTGCCGCAGTGGGAATATTTCGATTTCAATGTATGTACCGGGTAACGTATAATAAGTAACATTTGGTTCCAGCCATAAACTGGGGTTGTGTTACTGTCTACATGCAAAATGATGGTAGAAGCATGATGGCAGGGGTGTCCAAACTTAAAAAAATAAAAAATAAAAAAAAGAGTTCTGCAAAACTTCCCAGGAGCCGTCAAAACAACTGACTGGATTCGGCTTGAACTGAGCTTTAAAAAGAGGTACGACGGCTGAAGTTGGCTTGATGAAAAATGTTTACTCACCAGATACATTAGTGCTATATAGTAAAAAAATAAGAAGTAAACTGGATTCCAGAGATCTTGAGCTTAACAACACAAGGTATAACAGGTCTACATTGGCAGAGCTGAATTTGACTGGATGGCAAAGTTCATTGTATTTTTGGTTACTTTGGGTTAGCAAGACGGAGAACCACATACACTTACACAGAGGGTTTGGACAGGCCTGCCTTATGGAATGGTTATGGAAACATTCAGACTAAACTAAATAGTATTGTGAGATAAATGAAAATGGGAATGAGGAAAAGTGTTGAACATTATGGAGCTATGGCTGATGATGAAACGACAATCAAATATGGAAGAAACTTAGTAAAGCTGCTTCTCTGTCCAGCATGGAGCTAGAGATGAACAGGGGCTAACACAGCTACAATACTTCCAAAGGAACTTACTGTTTACATGACCTAAAACTACGCAGTCCGCCGCATCATGGGAGAAACACAACAAAATCAGTCAGTACTGAGGGAATCACAAAACCACCTCTAAATATAAATGAGCATTTTCAATTACATTTCCAAAACTTCAGACAGCCTAAACCAGCATAAGTGTCTGGAAAATGCCTGTTTGATGTGTTTTTACCCAGCCCTGAGAGATATTGGTGAATAATTTAGAGGCAGAGGTTTCATGTGCGTTACTAAGGAAACTGGGATGGGAGCAGATCCGGCACAAAAGAAACAACAGAAACATGAGATTCAAACATGATAATAGCTGTAAATATATTCCATTCACACAAGCGTCTATTTCCAGTAATAGTTCACCAGCAGGATTTATTCAACCATAAATTATTCAAGACTTATGACGGCTCTTGAAGTTGAATAGAGGACATGTTTTTTTAGAATGAGACCCGGACATTTAACCTTCCTTGTTAATGTTTTGTTTAGTGCGGTTTATGTCAATATTCGCTCATTTCACAATGGATTTACAGCAGCCATTTACCCCAATGATGCTAATGTGGAAAGTATTTTCTAATGAGATTGCTGAAATGTCTTCCTGTGAGATTCAGCCTCTATTAAATAGGACAACATTACTTTTCATAACTCGGATTGAGTAAAAATATAATGGACCATTAGTTTTGGTGCATTTCCCTCTTGGGGCTGAATCAATATAAAAGCAATTTCACTGCAAGATGTTTAGTGGGAAGGCTTATTATTCCTAATATGGAGTATACCACATGAAGCAATGCACTTGTAGCAGGGCTGCGATGATAACGCTTTTAAAACAAGCAGAGAAGTATAATTTTATAAAATAATTATATTTCATATATGCTTGTATATCTATTCATTATGTATTTAGTAATAACTATTAGCAGTATAACTTGTTTGCACCATGAACCAAAGGAAATTCCTAGTTTGTGGACTTCCTCAATGGCAACAAAAATTAGTCTGACTCTGATAATGTGTCTTTTTTTTAACTTAAAATAGGAAACCAATATATGATATAGACGCAAAATACGCAAGTGACATGTTCAAGTGTTTGTTTCTTTGAAAGTGCATTTTTAAAAGATTCTGTACAATGTTTCATGTAGTTTTTTTTTTTACAAGCTGAGGGCCATAATTATCAATATTATAACAAATTAAGATAGATAGATAACTTTATTTGCAGACTCAAGGTCCAGATCTTGATATATCTCACTTTGTGTGTAATGAGTCGGTCATGGACTGGTTTTACCTGTAATAAAGTTTAAAAAAGAAATCTCATTGAAGAAATGAATAAATATTAATTTAGATATGAGCTCATTTGCAAAAACAGATGTATCTTGATAAAAAAGTTGTATCCCTTTTATGGCCGTAAAATTGGTACTCTTTCAAATAGCCCTGGCATCTGTTTTTGCAAATGAATTCCTCTAATCATAGTCCTCAGTCATCATAATTTACGCTTATAAAACATAAAAATGCACAAAAGTAATTGCTGATTTGTCGGGTAGAATAATTACGGGTCTTTGGTATTAAGCGTTTACATAAGGTAATGAATATTTAGTAGCATATCTGCATTTCTATCTCTCACACACTCCTGTTGTTATTCCAATATGCACCTGTTTCCATTGTTCGCACGTCATAAAACCGCTGCATTATAATGTATCAGCCATGGCTCACCTTCCAGTGGGATTTCAAAGGCTGACGTCAGGTACAAGGCGCACATGCAGATGCCCAGGCCTAGCCGCAGCTGCCTCCTCGACACACCCATGCTTCTGCTATCACAAGTCCTTCACAAAGATCTTCAAGCGTGTATTTCAGTTCATGTCTGTGTCGCTGTGCTGAATATTTTGTACCTGTAAGAAGAAAAAAAACAACAAAAAATTCTGTGAATACCCGAGAATCCGCCCACATGCTGGCAGACAGTATGGCAAGAAAAAAAAAACCCAAAACACAACAATTCCCTCGTGACTGGCTGCCTGCTCCCTGCTCAGCCAGCCGCAGCACACTTTCTCCTTCTTATCAACAGGGCGCCAACATTAAAGGGCCCCTATCATGACTTCCCGTGGGACATGAGCACTTTTTAAAGAGTTTGATGTCTGCAGATGTGTGTCGCGAGACAAGCCAAGTAACGATACAAATAAATAAATAAAATGTACTACTAATGAATGGGGCCTGTGCTGGTATATACAGTAATGCATCCCAGGTGTTTCAGAGCATGGGAGAACAGGGGAGGAATAATTTTGAATATACGAGTCAAGATCTGTATCAAAACAATCATCGAGATACAACTGTGTGTGTGTGTGGTGCCTGTTTTGGTGCGGGGGGGGGGTTTGTAACACAACCACGGTGTAGCAGAATAATGCATATGTGTACCAATATCAGACAGATACAGAATTCTATCAGTGCAGTACACGGAATTTGTGTCGTATCCTAAAAGTAGATTTTATTTGAAAATGTTTAGGTTAAATCTGGAATACCTGACTTCATACATCTTCATAAATGTATGAAATACCGGTAAAGTAAAATGTTTTGAACACATCAGGTAAGGTCACCACATACTGTTTATCTTTTGAGGAAAAACACTAGAGACATTACTAGACACTGTGGGTTGAAAGCTGATGCTTTGAGGGCGGTCCAATTTTTTAACACTTTTTTAACGGAAAAAGCCGTGACAGTGCCCAAAAATACAGGTATGTGAAAACTAGTGACAGAACCAAACTGTTTTGAGGGAGGAACTTTTATTGTGTGACATATAGTTCTGTATTTGTGGTTTTGAAACAATAGCATTAGTTGTGTTTGTGCTTTCAAGTATGAACTGAAAATGGTGGTCAAGATAAGGCAGATTTGAAATGTCCTGACATAGTCTTTAAAGTCACCTTAGTTAGAATATACAAAGAACATATGTCAAGACTAAAATTAGGCTAATCAACTTTAAAGACTTCACCTTAAAAGAAGTGGGTCAACCTCAGGTCAGGATTTCTTTGAACAATCATGTAAAGAGAGCTTAATAGTCACCTTGAAATCTGTTCACACCATGGAATTATCTATTTGAGAGCCATTCATATCTCTTTAAAAGGGGCCCCTATACTTCTATGGCCTGTGGAAAAGCGGCCTCTCTGCTCCTGCTCCTTATGAGGAAGAGCAGCAAAGGCATTGTCTGTGGTGGCGGCTCTCTTGTCCAGACCCCTGCTGCATCAGGCCATTAGTTCCTCTTGTTGGCTCTGACCCAGCTCACCAGGTCACTGCAGAGCAATTAGCTCCAAAGCACAAAGGAAGATAATTGATTAGAAAAAAGAAGGAGTACAAAAAACTTCCACCAAGACTTAGAGGGGACGCTGTGGAACACATTTGGTATATTACTAGAATGTTGCTTAAATTACAACAAACGTCTGTAGACAACTCAATGATATTTTGATTGATACCAACAAGTTCACATATATAATTAAACGTTGTGCAGTCAGAGACAGTTTTGGGACAAGAGCTAGATCATCAGCAATGATCCATAGCCAGATTGCATCAGGGGGAATCCCAAGTTGTTCCCAGACCAGACCAGGCAGGCATTCCACTGGAGAAGCAGCGGCTCTAGTCCAAGCTCCTCCTGTGTGACTGAGCTCCAAACTCTATCTCAGCTCATTTCAACCACTTGTGTCCATGATTTTGTTCTTTTGGTCAATACCCAAAGCTTATCACCATAGATTGACTATGGTAAATTGAGAACTTTTCCTTTTGACTTTATAATAATGCATCAACTTTTATATAGCACTCTTTTGGACACTCACAGACGCTTCACATGTCATTATTCTTTCACTCCTTACACAGTGGAGATAAATTACTACTGTAGCCGCAGCTGCCATGGGGCACACTGACAGGAGCGAGACCACTTGTATGTGCCATCAACCCCTCCGACCACCACCTCCTGCCAGACACACACACACACACATCAGACTCATTCTAGGCAATGTTGGTTAAGTGTCTTGCCTAATGACACAACAACAGTTTGCCACTTTACATCCTGAGCCGCCTTCCTGTGGCACCTGGTGTTCCTCAAGGTCTCCCATCACAGTACAAACCAGGCCCTGCCCTGCACAGCTTCACAGTTCTGATGAGATCTAGCTTTCGCATGCAAGTATGACCTCAACAGTTCATTAAAGCAACACTATAACTGCAGACGCATCCACCATTCTTTTGATTAATTGATTAATTCCATAGAACACAAATATGTTTGTTTTTACTAGACCAAGATACATTTGAGGATATCCTTGAGAAGTTTAAGCAATCAAAGAGCACTCATTATGAAAGTAAGGAGTCCGGCAAAGTAGAGTTCTGTCCATTTCCGAGATATACTTGTAATGCATCCAAATCTGTGCTTTTGCTGCAGAGTGTAAAACGAGGCGTATGAACTGCCTGTCAGTTTTAACTCTTACATTCAGAAAACCTTTGATAGTCCCAAACAGACTCTCAGTGGAAGTGCAAACATATCTGTGTGACTTCCACTGTTATGCTTGCGACTGTTTGCTTTCTGCTCCTATTGACTTAATAGAACAAAGCGATAAAAGAGCGTGGCTGTTTTCAGATGTGTGCTCTCGTGTTTCCTATTATAACTGATAGTGTTGACTCATGACATTCACCCCTGACCTCCCACCTGCAGCATCTCAAACGACACTCAGAGAAATTGCCCTCAACATGAGTATTCAATCACAATTCTACTCAATCAACTTTTCCCGGATTTATAAGTCGTGTTTGCGAGAAGCCTGAGGGCAGCTTTTGTTTTCTCTTTCCCACACATTCTGATTTATGTTACTTAACGGATTCAATCAAATGGAACATGCTTTAGGCTAATTGGCTTATGCTTTGCTCACGAGATTGGCTTCTTTAAGGCACAATCTTAATAATTTATTCTTCAATGTATTCTCCCTTGATATGCCACATGTTGCACTTTTGCATTTTTAACAACCTTTCCTGAAACATGTGAATCCATTTTTTTTGTTATAAATTTGCCCCAAAAAAGCAAACGTGATTCTCCCGGAGATGATTCCTTCATTTCATGTAGACTTAGATTATAGACATTTCTGAGTAGAACAAAATCGGTTCTCAGCCTGTTTAAGTCAGCATAAGAGTCTAAATTAGTTTCAATGATTATTATAATAATTTGTTTCAGCCTTCAGATACTGCTGTATTTCATGAGCAGTGAAGCCAATTATCAATATGGGATGATGTGGTACCACCTGCATGTGAAACCCAGATTCCGTCAGGCTTCTGAAGCTAAGCAAGGCTGTGCCGGGTTAGTTCTGTGATGAGAGCCCTCTGGGAACCCCAGGTGCCATAATAAGGCAGCTGCTGCCATAAAAGCCCAAACTGTTGTTGTGTCCTTAGGTTGATGGTGGTTTGAGGGTCAGATGGCACAGACTGGTTGCTTCCCTTCTGTCAGTGTGCCCCAGGGTAGCTGTAGTTTATCACCGTTGTCTATTGAGTGAATGAATAATAACAATAACAAGTGTCCAAGAGTGTCCAGTGTGCGATATAAAACCAACAAATTCTTATTATTGGTAAGGGAGATCCTTAAATGTATACCACTGCAGGTCCATAAACTCTTATAATATACCAATAGTGTATTGAAATCTTCTTAAAAAATGGGGTGCTTTATAGTTATTAACCTTTTCGTAATACTTTTTAGGTTTCTGTTTGTTTGTGTCTGTCTGTATGTGTCTATCTTTCATCATATTGACTTGGTGTAGACAGATTACACTTTGCTCCAACTGTGCTTGATCATTTGGCTTTTGATTCCCTTTGTTCGCCCTTGGTTAAACACTCATTGAAGAAGACATTGGCCATCTGGTGCGCTCGAGGCTTAGCTGGTACGGCGGTCTCTGTCCGCGGACAGTTCAGGGGGTACACTTACCCACTGGATCTATATCACACACGTATAGGTCCCCCTCAGGCTGGACTCATTTAAAGAGCACCAGGCTGGTCTTAATCCCACCTCTTTCAGCCGCGATCACAGCGGTGTGAGATTGATGAAGTTGGCAGGAGGTTAAAAGCTGCCCGCTGTGGGAAGGCAATATGAACCTTAACCTTAAACAGAGATTTTGATGGCAGAGTGGGGGGCCTGGAAGAGGAGGAAAGAACTGTAGGCTATTTCTGTGTGCCATCTAAGGGGGAATCACAATCCAATCAAAATCTAATTTACATGGTCATAATTAGCAAAGCGCAAAGACTGCAATCATTAAGATTAAGATTAAGAGATGCTTTATTCGTCCCACAGTGGGGAAATTTCACTGTTGCATCGCAAGTTATAGAACAGTAGGAAAGAGGAGCACACAGCACAACAAAAGATAAGTAAACAATAGCTATACTAATTAAAACAAAACAAAATCTTTAACTTGAAAATAATAATTAGTGTAAAACTTTTACATTTGGTAAAATAAGAGGCAAGTACAGTATAAAGTACAGTGTATTCTAATTAAAGCAAAGTGTAGTTATATGTTAGAATCTGTACTTTAGCAGCAGTATATATACATCTGTACATTAGCAGCAGTATGTTTACATCTGTACATTAGCAGCAGTATGTTTACATCTGTACATTAGCAGCAGTATATATACATCTGTACATTAGCAGCAGTATGTTTACATCTGTACATTAGCAGCAGTATATATACATCTGTACATTAGCAGCAGTATATATACATCTGTACATTAGCAGCAGTATGTTTACATCTGTACATTAGCAGCAGTATATATACATCTGTACATTAGCAGCAGTATGTTTAC